AAAACGAAATGCTTGCACCAAATATGAATAACTACTCAAGTTCGACTAACCTCATCTCTCTGATTAGTAATGGAATCCTCAAAATTAGTGAAACTCGCAATTACAGCGCGGTTATTGTTTCCACACATGAATAGAATCTCACACATGCTTTTGACAAGGGCCCTGCAAAATCAGGAAAATACAATGACAGATGATGAGTACCAAGCATGATAAATGAAATTCCGGATGTGAAACATAGTCTGAACTAATCTTCTGAGGAAAACCACCTTGTTTTTGCATCTTCGGTTACAGAAGTGAATGAGTCTGATGCAACATAATGATGTTTAGATAATGTCCAGACACCCTTACTTGGTGAAGCTTTACCTATGTCATCCGGAAAGTAAAGAAGGTATTTAAGAACAAATGCCTACACAGAAAATGTAACAGTCAGCATCAACTGAGAGAATGTCCACATGCACTAGACAACCATAAATCACATTTTAACCAGAAACAGATCAGGAAAATTTAAAAGACATACTTGTAGTGCTGCTAAGACACCGCAGGGGCCACCTTCATGCTGCACTAAGCCTATAGTAGTTTCAGGATCTGGGCTAAACCTATAAATATGTAGGAAAACACACATTAGTTAAATTGTGGGCACATAAAGTTAAATATGACATAACAATTACACTACAGAAAAATTTGAAAAGAGACATTCATATATTTCATTTACACATTCTGGATAAATTACTGAGCATCTAGAAAACATATGGAACTTTCCAGTTCTTATTTAGTGAGGAACCTTATTTCATTAAAGAAACAAGTTACACTATGACAAGAACAAACTATGGTCTACTGTTATATTAATATGCCTATGAGAAAACAACATTCTGGAATAACCAAACATTTTGGAAGCCTATACATGTCTAGTTTCTGAAATTAAAGATGAGGAGAAGAGAATCACAAGGAACTCATGCATTTAGTTTCTTCACAGTCATAGCCATTAAAATTCAGTTGCCTTTCACTGCAGTATCTCCAGCAAATCTGATAGATATAAAGCAATTATTTGCTGGAGATCAACTGACATATGGATTATGGTAATAATTGGATTGCTTCTGAGGGACAAGAGGGTTCATCTCTTATTGGGAATACTTTGCATACTAAGTCGGCGAAGCTTTGCCGACTGTAAGAAGCTTTCCGTATGGGAAATTTTCCTTTGATTTCTCCACATTTGATATCAAACTATTTATATATTTCCTCCTTGACTATCTACCCTACAATTGGGCTAACTAATTGATCCCCAACATGCAATGAGGAGACAGAGAGGAGCAAAAAGTAGAGAAGGCTCAATTGAGAAAAGGCCTCATGTGAAGATCCAAAAGAAATGTAAGCTGGCTAAATATCAGGACCGTATAAGACACTGTCGAAAGGGAGTGATATTGATAAAGAATTTGGTATTGATAAGAATCCCACATCGGGTATCGGATATTAAAACTAATGCCTTAAAAGGCTATAGGATACTTTCACTCTTAACCACTATTTGTGTTGAAAAGAATTCCACATCAGATAGCAGATAATAAAACTAATGCCCTAAAAGGCCATACGATAACGCTATTTTGTGTTCCAAAAAAATCCCATATCGGATAACGGAAGATAAAACAAATTCCTAGCCTTATAGGATTCCATCACTCTTAACCTAGCTATTGGATTGACAAGACTCCCACATCGGATATCGAATAATAAAACTAATGCATTAAAAGGCCATAGTATCCTCTTACTCTTAATCTAGCTTCCTTGTATCGACTACTACCCATTCGGTTTCTAACGGCTTGGTAACGGATCCAACTACTATACGCGCGAACCAGTCATTATATCTATATCACCACAACTAACTATAGCATATCCATTTGACAAAAATGGCAGAACCAACACCATAGCTTCTCTCCTAGATAACAAGATTCACTTCTCAAACTCTAGAAACAATACACAATCAATTTCTAAAATCCTTACTACTATATGAATACACTAATTCATTGATAAAAAGCACACAAATTTCAATCCATCCATGAACAAAGCAAATGCAAATACAAAAACCATACCTTATGCCCTGGTTAGTCCATTGTGCAAGAACACTCTTCGAAACCTCATTCCCAAACACCATAGAGAACAACTGATCAGACTCTTCAACCAATAACTCCTTCCCCAAACCAGATCCCAACTCTTCACCACTCTTCACAACCTCATTAGCAATTGGCAAAGCCCGAGCCTTGTTCTGAACCTTAGGAGGGCTACTAGGAAACAAAACCATACGTTTCTCAGCAGCAGCAGCCATAAGCTCTCGCTGCAACCGTCGAGACTTAGCCTCAGGTGACTCACCACCAGATTGAGATCCGGATCCGGATTCTTCTTCAATGGGTTTGCTCCGTTTCGGCTCAGGTGGGTTGTATTGCATACTCATCTTAAGGGCCAATTTCAAATCTTCGTCTTCTTCATGATCCGCCATTGAAAACCAAACCACACCCACAAAGATTAAGATTGCCCCGGATCCAAAGATCGTAGCTTTGAACACTTTACGTTACGATTTTGCTATTGTCTCCACAAGGATCATGTAGAAATAAATAAAAAAGAGATCTTTTTGCTTTGGTAATGAATCAATTAGCTCCAAAGAAGGGATTTTTTTAATTTCCTAATCCTCTCATAAGAGATAAAGTTTTCAACTTTGGTTTGGGCATTGGACGATAGTATTGGATTTTGGGGTTTGAACAATTTAGGTCAAAATTAAAACTCGACAAAAGTTTTTGGATCCGTCTCCTCACAACTCTACTTGTTGAAGAGTTTGTTTATTCATCGTTGTGTTGGTTATTTATGTGTAGTTCACTTTTATTTTTTAATGTAAAATTTATGCGGTCGTCGAAAAAAAAATATGTAAAATACACAATATTTTATAATCGTATCGTATGAAATGGAAAAGTTTTAGACGTATAATAATACACAAAAATATAAATTGGAAAGAGTGTGAAATTGAATTAAAGAGAACTATATAGTATCTTATTAGAATTTTAACAAAAATGTAATTAGCAAAAAAAAATGAAATGAAAAATTCACAATTTCTGTTTGGAAATCCAACATTGTTAAGTTTTATCTTACTTCACTAAAGACAAATAAAAGTTAATTTTTTGTTACGAGTATCAAAATTTGATCGATAAACTAAAACATATCACGGTTATGTAATAATGTATTACAATAATAAATAAAATTTGTACCAAATTAAAGTAATGTTAAATGACTTATGTTGTTTTTTAACTTCATTATTCATTCATCATTATTGGTTAATATCCATGCTAAATACATTATTATTTTTTAAACATATCAAATTCTAATTGAGAGTACACGTAAATTAGTATATATTTTTTTTTGTTAGTTTTCCTTTTTATATATAGCCGTAAATTTCTATGTCTTAAAAGAAAAAATATATATAATTTATTACATAAAAAGAATTACAATATTATGTGTCTAATCGTTATACTTACGTGAGTCATGTTCCTATTAATAACTAACTTTGAAACCAAACGCTATATAATAAGATATCAAATATGACTTCGACTAAATAATGATTTTTTTTCCATGGCATATTTTGATTTTTGCCTTTTGTTGATATTTTAAGCAATCGATAAGTATTTTTTATCTACTTTGCAATGCTTTTCCTATAAATTTAATAAGAATTTCAAATTATATTACTGTTTTGTTTTTTTTTGTTTTTTTGAATGTTATATTACTGTTTTCAAAAGGGTATCGTTAAAGCATTTGTAATGTTTAGAATATTTACAAGTTTTGGGCAAAAGATCATAAAAATAGGAAAACATGCTTCAAGATAGTTTCAAAACATCAAAATTTTGGCATCCATTGAAAGTTTTTTTATTTGCACCAATTTTAACCTTCTTTGAGTTGTTGTTTAGAAAGTTAGAAGAGTCATCTTGTGTTCCAAAAAAAGAAAAGAAGAGTCATCTTGTACAGTTGACCGAGAGCAGCCATCAACTGTTTTTGGTAGTAGTTACTAAAGTTATTATTATTAATCTACATATGTTTTTATTCAACTTTCTTAAAACGAACATATATTGCTAATTTGATGAAGGAAAATATGTTAAATGTCTCATATCGGCAAAAAAATTAAATAACGAATCAAAATCATATTATAAATAAGATAAAATAGAATCCAAAACCCAGCAAGCACAAAATTTAACTTAACAAGCATCCATATATAAAAATTTGTATTGGTTTAATTCAACTATATCGGATAGAATCATAAATAAAGTAAAAAAAAAATTATATTATTTAATCTTATAAATAGTTTAAATTATTTTAAACTTAGAAAATATTTAAAATACCACGAGACGCGTTATATGGTGGGAAATGTTATACGACAAAATATAAATTTAAAATATCCTTAAATTGGTACTACAATACATGTAAAATCATCATTTTATTAGTGTCTACAGCAACATCTATTAAAACAATATATATTTTTAATTTAAGTATATTTAAAATGTTTACTTATGCATATTGTTACTTATAATTAATAGAAAATTCAATTAAACAAAAATATCAATTTTTTAACTCAATGGGAACTCATGCTATCGATCTACGTTTACGGTAGATCCAACTAGTTACTAACCCGTGTTACATTACGGACGCATATTGATTTTTCTTAATTTAACATTTAGTTTGCGAAAATGAGTTATGATTGTATGAATATGTATTTTTTTTTTTATAATGTATAAGTCTATGAATTATAGTTAGTTTTTTCTTGTTAATCATTTTTAAATGCTTTAACTTGGGAACTCGGAGAAGTATCAGGTGATTTATTTCCCCGTATTCGGGTTTGTCCGTCCTGCATCAAGGATACGGGGGACGAGGCTGTGGCTGCAACATCGGTCATTTGGGACAATCTTGGAATAAGGTTATGAAGTGATCAAAAGACAAGCTTGTAATGATCTAACAATGGTATGTTGCGATATATTAAAGATATAAAAGAAAGAGAACTTTTATGTGCATTATGGCAGATAAATGAGTCATGTTGTTTTGTCTCATCAGAAGAAGATTTATAGAAGTAAGAGAGACAGAGACAGACATTGAGAATGGGAAGTTTAAGTTCTTCTTTTAAGCCTCAGCATACAGAGCCTTAATCTCCTCTACATCGTCGTAGCTACCAAGAAATATCGGAGAACGCTCATGGATCTTCTCCGGGACAAGGTCTAGCGCCTGCATCAGGACATCGACATGTAAAACTACTTGATCCACAAACCATATAAACAACAAGACCTCTACACTTCTGTTATATGCTATATAAGAAAATCAGATTTAAAGTTGCATTTAAAGGGAGTAAAGAGAAGAAATTATACCCTTTTCTGGCCTGTAAAGGCCTGACCTCCGGCTTGCTCCATCAAAAACGACATGGGGAAGACTTCATACAAGACACTGTTCATATATGTAGGTAAAAAAACTAGCTTAGTTATATCGCGGTTTTAAAGGTTTATGGAGATTTATCAAACTCAAAACCAGAAAGACCTTTCAATGGTTATATTTGAACTGTCAGTTTTATACTAAGCTTACCGCAATTTCCCATTGGGGCTTTTCTTGTCAGCCGGGTACAAGAAGATTCCTCCATAGAGTAGCGTGCGATGAACATCAGCTACCATACTGTTACGACAATGATATTAACGAAACGGGACGAAAGCATAAGCTGTTTTCTACGAATGAGCTTTAAAACTTAAAACAGGGGAGGTTGTTCCCTTATACCTTCCAACATATCTCAAAGACTTTGCGGGTGAACCATCTTTAGGGAACTTGCATTTCTCTACATACCTACACCGACAGCGAAAAACCATAAAATATATGAATTCAACTGATGACTTGAATCAGATTTAACTTATTTCGCTACATACTTCGTAGTTGGACCATCCCAGTTCTGCGCATTGCCTTCATTCACTGAATAAATGTTTCCCTTCTTTGGAATCTGAGAACAAGAAGAACTTAATGAATCTTTTATAAACTTCATAGAAAGAAAGAACGATCATTGTTCACTGGTTCCCATTACCTTAATGTCCGGGTGAGTTAGTATGAACTCTCCGAGAGATGGGTCCAGGGTAAATCCGTGGACACCCGTTCCAGTGCTCAACACAAGCTGAGACATCCAATAACATTCAGTTTAAAAAATCCAGAAATAACTAATCACACTGATTGATACTAATGTTGCCTTTGAGAATTTTATTCTCAGTACCATGCAAGAGCTTCCATACATACAATAACCCGCTGCCACCATTTCATTCCCAGGTTTCAGAACATCTTCAGTGGTTGGCTCATTAGTGTGGTCCAAGGTGTAAATTCCAAAAATCTACACACAATGAAACCCAAACACAAAAAGACAAACTTTTTTCACATGATTCACTGTCCAAGCCCTCTTACAATGTAACAAAAAGAGAAAGAAACATACTGTTCCAATGGAAACACCACAGTCGATATTCGAGGATCCATCAAGCGGATCGAAAACAACACAGTACCTATTTAACAACAAAAATACTCAATTATGCTAATGACAATCACCAATACAAACAATTACAAAGTCAATTTAAACTTACTTTCCACGCTTGGATGGCTCCACAAACGTAGCTTCCTCATCTTCCTCAGAGACAAGAACAGACTATCACAGAGTAACAATAGCCAAAAACTGTTGTAAGATTACAAATGAAACATGTTGGAACCAACTCAAAATCCTTAGAAAAGCTATATTTACTTACAGTTCTTCCACTGCTAACCAAAGCTTTCACAAAGACATCATTGGAGAGCACATCAAGCTTCTTTTGCTCTTCACCCTAATAACACAGAAAATAGAATCTCAGATACACAAAACAACAACAACAAAGAGAGCTTTAGTACAAAAAAACAAAAGACTTACCTGAATGTTTGTTTCCCCTGCAAGTCCAATTAACTTAGCCAAACCAGCCTGCAACACAACCATAAAAATCAAAACTTTAACTCTCAATGGGCCATCCTACAACACACTAAAGACAGATTGAGACAACTCCACAATCTAAAGAAGATCCCATATCATCATCATCATCATCATCATCACCAACCATAAAAACTAAACCTTTACCTAAACCGAAAGTGACATTTCTAATTCAACCCCTGACCCAATTCTTAAAAACCAAAACTTTACCTTATTAACAGCACTGCAAACGAATTTGCATCCCAAAACGATATGACTAAGCAAAATCGTGAAATCCCCACGAGACTCAGGATACTTGGATTGTTCATTCAACACAAATCTCGTAATGGTCATCAAATCAGTACGGTGAGCATCAGCTGCGTGATCCATCTTTTTGAATCTTTCTCTTATCTCTCTCTCTGCCCACCAAATGAGTTTGATTCAGAGATATTTAAGATTGAAAGGTGTGATCTTTATACTTGGGTTTTGTGTGTCGCACGTTTCGAGGAAGATGATGATGAGGATTGAGGATAAAGATACGACCGGTGAGCAGAGCATCGAACGTTCCTCATGACAGCCAAAGAAGAGATCGGGATGACACGTGGCTGTGACGGGTTTGGTCAGCATTTTTGGTTTTGGGATAATGTTGCCTCTCTCGTCCTCGTATCTTTTGATGCAAATCGTCTCTTCTCCTTTAACCGTGTCAAAAAGATTCACCATTTTTTTTTTCATTTCTTCCTTTTAATCATTATCAGGTGTGGAAGGAATACGCATACCAAATCGGTAAAAATGTCATTTAAAATCACAAACTTTTAAATTTTGGTCATTTAAATCACGAACTTTATATGTGGCCATTCAAAATATGAACTTTTTGTTAACTTAAATTTTAAAATATCATATTTCGTTGACTAGGCCGAAATAAACACCATATCCTCAAATCCGTTAACAAAACAGCTAGCTATCGTTATTAGTGAAAAACGAAGTTGTTTAATGCTAAAACGATATCTCAAAATTGTGATTTTAACGTCATAATCCAAAAATCAAATCTCTAATTCCTCACTTTGTTTTAGCCTTAAACAACGTTGTCTCTTACTAATAGAGATGGATTAGTGATGGCTAAATATTTGTTAGTTGTTTTGTTGACAGATTTTTGGAAATGATGTTCAATTTGACTTATGTGTTGATTGGTTCTCCCGCTCTCAGCCGCCTAGCGGTTGCTAGCGGGCGATTGCATTTGCTAGCGTTTGGTACCAATCATACAAAATGCTCTACACTGCTTGGGATCGCACGAAATCGCTGGATTTCAAAAGCTCATTCCCGCAAGCGTTTGTGGTTGCGAGCGATTGCGATTGATTTAAAAAAGGAAAGAAACTGAAAAAGGAAAATCTGTAAAATAAAATATATATTATCAAATCTTATATATATTCACATTAATTCTCAAATTATAATTATTCTCTACATTTAATTTTCCAATATTATCAAATCTTATAAAATTTTGTTTATTTAACATTTGAATAATGATTTAGTATATATATTTAGTAATAATTTAGTCGGACCATTTGTCGCAAGAGTCTCAAGTCTCAACCAAAACCGTTTAAAATTATTAATATTTGTAAAAATAAACCAGTCTGTTATAAAAAATAGTAATTATAATCTTTATTAACTGTTATGTATCAAATATGGTTTACTAACGTAATTAACCATTTGAATAAACCTTTTAAATAAATTTTATTTAACTAAAACAATGTTTTAAATGGCATAATGTGTCAACTAGTAAATATAATCCACTCCATAAATCATTATGTTAATAAAACATTATTTAATTTAATTATTTGTAGATTTATCTTCTATCTATTAATTTATATATTTGTAGTTATATTTGAATAAAAAATCATTTATTTAACTAATTTACTATAAATATTTGAATCATATAATTACTACATATATTTCATATTGTAAAATAAATATTATTTGATATGGTAAGAAATGATAAAATTTTCCCTATAATATTAATTATATTTATAACCATCAAATAACTATAATCATATTTAATCGTAATGTTTGAACCATCTTCTTATATATTAAAAAGAGAAGTACACAATTGACATATCTAATTTTGGCCAAAGTATTTTTGAGGATATATTTGATCGTTATGTATTGAACCATCTTCTTATACCAATTGTAGATTCAAGAAGTATTTTTGAAATTCCCTCTTAAATATATTTTGGTAGTATAGTATTTTTTATTTTTACAATCTACAAAATGTATACAATCAACAAATATTTTATTCTACAATTTTTTCATTATAAGAGTTCGCATTTTGTGACACTCTAATATTATGCAACTTACGACATTATACGATTATAAAAATTAACAAATCAATACAATAAAAAGTAAAAACACAACGAGTTTTCGAAGAAGTTTAAATGAATTGATTTGGCTACCTATGTCACCAAAATGCACTTATCTTTTCAGTCAAAGGTCATGAGAGAACTCCACAATTAAGCGTGTTTATGTTAGAGTAGTCTTAGGATGAGTGACCTTCCGGGAATAGTTGTTGGAACTGTGTGAGCGAGCCGAAAACACATGCAAAGATCATGTGGTGATTTGTAGGGTCAGTAAACAACTATTTAAACCTCTCGGACGTAGCAAATCGACGATCGGATATTGATAGGCTCACGGGCCTAGTGAGAGTACGTTAGAAAGGTGGGTCCATGGACTGGTGGTGATCATGGGGATTACTGGAGAGGTGACGGTCGGGGCATTACAACTACTTTTGTCCACCTCATCTTAACTAGCCAATCAAAATACAAAAATATGTCATGTCATTTTCTATTTAAAATGATCAAAATTAAAATTAGTAAAATAAAACATGTTCTAAATTCCAGACTAACAACCTAACAATACAATAACATAAAAACTCCACACAACCAACGAGCCTCTAGATCATCTCGCTCTCCACGCCTCGATTCCACAGTAAACTTTTCTTTTACTTGCATCACAGAAATACTCAGTGAGTCACTCATCCCAACTATTGGGCTATACACACAAACATCATTTAAACATATTCACACAATATCCAATCACAAACATCAAATAATCAATGAAACAACAGCAGAAAACCCCAAATTAACGAGCAGTGTCGATCGACACCCACCACTGGTGTCAATCGACACTCGCGACCATCCTCGTGAGAAAGAAAATTGGTGTCAATCGACACCCAACCTTGGTGTCGATCAACACCAAATCCCTAACATCGCTCCAGTCGCTTCTCATCGATAGATCTCCTCCCCTTTGCACTCCATGGCCGAAAAGATACTCCATAAGGCTCGTCCAGAGACATCACATCACATAAAACAAGCATACAAGCAAAGAAATCAATCAACAATCATACAAATCACCAAAACATGCAGTCAATCAACAATCATACAAATCACCAAAACATGCATTAAAACAGCTTAGATAAGTCTTAGTCCTACACTCACCTCTTTGCAATGGATGAACTGTGAAGAAAATAGAACAAACAAGGAAGGAACATGCTCTCCTAACACCACACACCATAGATCCAACCTCCTCTAGCCTTGAAGCACCAAGATCAAGCCTCAAACTCTCCAAACATCTCTCTCAAAGGCACCAAAGATCAATCACACCCTCTCTGCTCTTTCTCTACTCTTTAGCAGCGGCTCCAATGAAGAAAAAACAGAAGAAACAGCGCCTCAATCATATCGAAGAAAGGTAGCACTAGAAGGGCACTTAACCCTTAAGTCGACTTAGGTTTTCTCCAAACCGATCCCCAATCGAACCGACGATTAAAAAGTTAAACCGCTAAACCAAAAATTATTGGTGTCGATCGACACCACCCGGTTTTCCAGACACGGGTGCTACAGAGACGGATTTGAATACTACTCAATATACAAATACACCGATTAATATATATTAAAATATCATTAATCTTAGATAAATACTCTCAAATAACACCAAAATATGTTTTATGGACAATTATAGCACACATTCCATAAATTTTCAAAACTAGCACTAACTAACATAATTATAATATTTTAAATAGTTTTCTAGAACTTTTTTTTAGGTTTGGGTTGAATATTTTACATTTAGGGTATAGTTTTTAGGGGGTAGGGTTTATTGTTTAGATGTAAGGATTTAGTTTTGAAAGCTTAATTTAAAATTTGGTGCTAATTTTGGAAAATATGAGAGTGTGTGCTAAGTTTGGAAGAAAAACTTAGATTAGTGCTATTTTTGAGAATTTCCCTTAATCTTATATTTCATACATTTTTAAGAACACGGGTATAAGATATGTCGAATACAGTTAGATTTAATTAAGTTTGAAATTATGCAATATTAACAATTTTTAAACAAATTTAAGCATAATAAAAAATAACTTAAAAAGAATATTAAAAAATTGCCTCACGATGTACTGTAGGTTAAAATCTAGTTATACATTATTTTTTTCAAACATGTAAGGTACATAATTTTTATTTTTTTACTAAGTTACAAAGAAAAAAGATTACTAAATAAAAATATCTAAACTTTAAAGTAAATATCCTTTATACTATAAAACATAAGTCACCTATCCAATTAAATTATGCCGCGTAAACTTAACTTCATAATTAATAAAAATCATATATATAAAAGTAAGGTTTCACTCTCTTCTTATTGGTGGAAAAATATTTAAGGCTTTAATTTTTTTTTTAAAATAAATAAATAAATGTTTATGACAATCATTCAAAACAAAATTTAATTACACTATAAGTTATAATCAAATGGCAAAGAAAATGAAAGGACTTAATCATATATCATTCAACAAAATAAATAAATAAATAAATCTTTATGACAATCATTCAATACAAAATTTAATTACACTATAAGTTATAATCAAAAGGCAAAGCAAATGAAAGGACTTAATCATATATCATTCAACAAAATAAATAAATAAATAAATCTTTATGACAATTATTCAATACAAAATTTAATTACACTATAAGTTATAATCAAATGGCAAAGAAAATGAAAGTACTTAATCATATATCATACAACAAATTTTATAAGGCTTATTGGTGGAAAATTATTTAAAATCATATATATAAAAGTAAGGTTTCACTCTCTTTATTGTTCCATTTTGTATTTATTTTTTTAAAATATAATATTTCTTTTTAATTAAACCAAAAAAACATATTTAATCATATACATTAATTCATACTTTAAATTCACACTTTACTACTAAAATGAAACTGAAAATTATATAACCTTTCAATTAACTATTTGTTTCCTCCATTCAATTTCAATTAACACACTATAAAATATAATTATAACTCCTCTAATTTAATTATTTTAGAATTATAACTTACATCATATTTTATCCTATAAATACTCATTTTTACATCCTCCTCCACCATATCTGATATTTTCAATATTTTCTTTGTTTAATTTTTAATGTTCTTGCATGGGTTGAAAGCTCAATTAAGATATCATTGTAAGAGCTTGATTATATATTTGGTTAAAACTTTTGTTTTCAATTATATTTCTTCTTTATTTTATTTACTTCTTTATTTGTTCATTGTTTTTTATACTATTAAATATATAATACATATGTCTAATAATATTTTATGGCTACAAGGAAATTACTTTATCGATGGGATTCAAAAATATTGATTTCTGACCATCGCACCATAAGAAAATCAAGCTAAATAAACCATCTTCATTGTTTTACTTTATATGTTTCTTTCTTTCTCACAAATTCATGTATATTTATTTTATTTTCAAAGTATGTAATTATTTTAACAAAATAATTTTTGGTTATATTCAAACCAATTTGTAAGACATTGAAATAAATAAAATTTTATACACAAATAAAGGTAATTTGTGTGTATATTCATAAGTTTACACACATATATGGATAAATTTTAACATTTTTAGTGGTTGTTTTGATAAAGTTTGAAAATGGGGTAAATTTAAAAAGTGGTATTTTTAAAAGGGTATTTTTAAATTCTCCCAATATAATTCCTATTTTTATCATTAACAATATTATTTTTTTATCAAAAAATACTTAAGAGCACTAAAGAAAAGGGGGAATTTCAAAAATACCCCTTTTCATATACTTTTTTTAAAAAATACCCCCTTTTCAAACTTTATCAAAAAACCCACTAAAAATATTAAAATTTATCCAAATATGTGTGTAAGCTTATAAATATATACACAAATTACCTTTATATGTGTATAAGACTTTATATACCTTTCATAAATAAGGTAAAAATAAATTATAAAAACCTTATAAAAACCTTATAAAAACCGTATAAACCTTTTTAAAAACCTTTTAAAAACCTTATAAAACTTATAAAAACAATTTAAAACTATTTAAAACGTTTTAAAATATTTGTATTGAATCTCCCAGTAGTAGTTATTATATAGAAGTACCTTATAAACTATATAAAACTTTATAATTTTTATATTTAAAAAGGGGTATTTTTGAAAATGAATAGATAAAAGGGGTATTTTTAAAAAGGGGTACACCAAAAGGGGTATTTCTCAAAAATTCTCTAAAGAAAATTACTATCAAAATTGAACAATTAATCAACGAATAAAATTCAAAAGAGATGGATGTATGATTCTATTGTACAATTTAAATAAATAAAATGTAAAAATGTTATAAACATTAAAATTTATATAATAAATTTATATAAGTAATAAATAAATTAAAATAATTAAATAAATATACAACAACCCGCGCATATGCGCGGGACATTACCTAGTGTTAATTAAAAAAAAGCAAGCTAGAAAACTTTTCTGTTTCTTCCAATTTTTATTTTTCATTTTCCCACCATCCCACTCTCTCCACGGTTTTCTTCTTCCATTAACCAATCTCATTTCCTATTCAAACTAAATTTTCTCATATTGTCACCAAAATTTGAGAGAAGGCATACACCACCATCTTTCTTCTCTCATTCAGTGTAATTTTTTATTATATTGTATCTTAATTTAGGCTTTTAGTCTCTATGAGGTATCTGTGATTCTTTCTGCATATTAAAACATTTGCTTTTATTCTCCTGTCAAACTAATACTGCTTGATTTTCTAAAGGTTGTCCGGAACAATTTCAACACAAACAAGAGTTCTTCAGCAATTTCAACATAGTTTGATAAGAATCTTTGTTGTTCTAAGATGTGGGTCTTACGGATATTGAGTTAGCTAAGTTTCAGAAATATTGTACATAAATGTCAAAGTCATGATTGGAAAACACATTTGTTCATTGTAAATTGCTGATATGAGAAGTTTTGATTTTTCGTTATCAAAGTGAAGGGACCAGGAAGGCATGAACGAACATCATTTTCACTATTTTGTAATTAAAAAAAATTTAAATATTTCTTTATATAAGTTTCAGGGATTCACATATCTAAAATGAGAATTTTGAGTGAATATAAGGCCTTGAATGGTAATAGATTCTACAATAGATTTTGGATTTTGTTTTTCAAAAACTAGTTTTTAAGTTTTCTTAACAATTTTTAATAGAAACCAAAATCCACATATTTGAGAATTTAAGAAAATACTAACGGCACTTCTCATTTTCTTTTTTCTATTATGTATAAAAAAAAAAATAATAATAATAATATTTATTACAAAAACTAAAAGCGTGAATTAGGTGAATAATCAATTGAGATAATAAAATTAAGAATATAGCATTATAAAATAAAAAATTAAGAAATTAACACATGACTCTTGTAAAATGACCAAACTATCCTTTAAAATAACAAAGAAAAATCCAGCTTTTTATTTTGTTTTTTGTTTTTAATTTTTTTTTTGGAATAAAACACTTTACCCCTTAATATTTGTTAGTAATATATCTTTCAAAAAGGTTAATATAAACTCTCTAATTTATGTAAAATAAAGTTTACATTTTTTTCTACATTCAACATATCTTGAATTTTTCAAATCGGATATGAAAATGTTTAAATGATGAATAGTATTGATAATGAAGATGACAACTTTCTATATAGAAACATATAAAATATAATAGTATTCTACATAGTATATAAGTATTTAACACAATTAAGTAGTGGATGTAATTGTGGACCTGGTTCTAGCTATGGTTGTGGTGGTTATACAGTATAGAGGTGGTGGGTATACGGCGTGGTAGTTGTTCCAATACTGAATAGTATTGGTAAAAAAGAAAACATGTTGTATATAGAAACACATAAAATTGAATAGTATACTACATACTATTTGAGTCTGTAACACAATCTTTAATAATTTAATAGTAGTGCTGGATGTAGTTGTGGCCATGGTGAAAAGACAAAACGATAGACGGAATAGAAATTAAAGAAGCTAACCATGCCGAGTTAAACCGATGTTGAATTATAGACGCTATACCTTAAGAGATACAACATAGAAAACCCAAATAACTGACTTAAAACGCACAACGAATAAGAAATATATACCCTAAGGCCTAAAGGATACAATAAAGGCAACCCAAATGACCAAATTAAATGCACGCCAAATATTTTAGGCAATTAAACACATGACAAAAAAGATTATAATGTAAGAAAATAAAATATAAGCAAATATTTGTTTGTTTTAATATGTAAATACATATGTATTGGAAAAAGGTGGGTTGTAGAAAATCGGATAAGGAACAACTGTGTATCATGACACTACAAACAAAATGGTTGATTGCATCACTTAAATAGTATCACAAATATAAATGATATTATTTTAAATTATGTACATGAGACCAATTATGGTAATAATACGTACATAAAATATACACTATATTGTTTTTATTGGGTTAGAGTGGTCAGCTGGTGAAATATAGATTTTTTGTTGGTCATCCATGCCAAAATCCCAAACTAAAAATCAAAAACCAAAAGCTAAAAACCAAAAACTATAATCTAAAAACTATTTAAAAACCAACAACCATTCATGGCCTAAATCTATGTAGCATGTTAAATTGAAAAAGTGAAAAATATTAACTCTTTCTTTTAGTTTAATATTTAAGATTTTTGACCCGTACGTAGAAATACAGATAATCTTTTATATTTGAGATGGCGTCAAGCCGTCAACTGATGACTACATTCTCATGAAATATGATACATAATTTTCTATCGCATGACTATTAGTATATCGTTCAAGACAGATTACGATATGATTGACACAATACTCTCTCTCTGGCGTGGTAAGTTGGGCCCAATTATTTAATTTTATTGGGCCTCATTGAAAAACTAAAGCCCATGCGGTGTAGATTCATTTACATAAACGAATGTTAACTACTTCAAAACCCTTTAAATATTTACTTCGTGAACAGTTTTTTTTACTTTGGTCTTTTTGGTGCTTTCGATTATTTCTCTCCATCGCCATCGTTTTTGATTTAGGAAAGAAAAGTTTGTGATGAGAAAACTATTGAACCAGACGCAGAAGCTCAGATTTCAAAGAGCTATGGAGAAGCTAAAATCTCTGTCGGCGGCGACAAACAATTCTGTCATCGTTGCCGACTCTATCCCCTGCAACAACGAAGAAGCAAACTGATATTACAAAAGTTAGTTAATATGAACACTTTTGTTTGGAAGAGACAAACTGAAGAACCAAAAAAAAATCAGACATTCTATGAAGTAACATAGAAACAGAAACAGAATCAGTGTTTTGACAATGTTGAACGCTGCATCACTCTTAAAGACATCGCCGTTTTGCAGCAGCTTCTTCTGCAGATGTAGAAACACAATCAGTGTCTTCCCCCTTGTGATCTTCAGGACCTTCTGAGCATTGGCTCTTAAGCTTTCCTCCACCTAATAGACAAGTCCAAAGCTTGCACTACGCGGGACCTTATCGGGCTCTGATACGCGAACATCATAATATCTGTTTTCCAAAGCTTGAACTACGCGGGTGAAGTCTGTTTCTTCTGAGATGTTTTTGGATAATATCATCAGAGTTGGATATCCAACTTCATCATGTTCCACAGGATTGTCTAGTGCCCAGAGAAGCATGTCCAACAACATTTTAAAACCTCTTGAATAGTTTGGCCCTGGAAAATTATATCAATGGAGATGTTACATATCTATACATCAAGAAAAAAGAGTGATAAAAGGGAGTTTAAAGAGGGTTTAAGTAGAGGAATTCACCGTCAGGTACGAATCCGATTTTGAATTTGGAATCTGGGTCTGAATCTTCTGGGAAAGTTTGCTTCTCACCATAAGCCCATATTGACACATCACCCCTATGACCTCTATGACAAAGAGCTGATCCAATATTCAGATAAATCGAATCATCACTGAGACCTGTAGGGATTGGGTAATCCACAACGTCCCAGAAGAGTCCATTGCCAGGCTCTACAAAGTTTCACAAAAAGTTACTAAAAGAAAAACACAACCAGATGGATAGTGAATACAAAGTAATTATACCTTCTGGCCATCCCCTTGCAACAGAAGTATCGATAATACGTTCTAGCCTTTTGTCGATAGTAATACTGCCTTCGGTAATATGTGAAATAGCATTCTTCAGAACAGGGTGATACATATCAATAAGACCTGCCAATGCAACATAGTTTCTTGCTTTGAAAGCATGGAGGAGACTGGTGAGTAAAGTGTCTTGTGATTGTGAGAAGTCTTTTGAGATTAACAACCAATTAACTGCAGGCCTCTTATCCAAGACGAAGAGTAAAGTGTCTACCAACATTTTTCTAACCCTTGCATGTTTATCATCTGGAACTATACAAAAGGGACAGACATATAAGTTTAAAAATTAGAAACAGAGGAAAGATAAATGTTTAGGTTTTAAGTAGATACCATCAGATTTGAAGATGATACCAACATCTCTAAAGCGATTCACCAATTCAATAGGCATTGTATTGCTCTCTTTATAAGCCCAGATTGTTATATCACCATCAAAACCAAAACCCATAAAGTTTCTTTTCATGGTTGCATATACAGATTCAGGAACACAACCTTCAGGGATTGTGTAATCACCAACATCCCAGAAGACTCCTGTCTCTGCTAGGGTTTATAATTACAAACAAGGCATTATCAACTTCAAATCAAACATATCGATTACTATGATTTGAACAACCGATCAAATGAGTTATGAACAACAGAACTAAAGCTTTCAACTCCAAGAGAAATTGATGAAAAGATCAACGAGGACATACATATCGTGTCGGATCGATCAGAATAGCTATGAACAACTTGCATTTTCGAGAAGAGATTGAGATCTAACCGAAGTAACGTTGTCTGCGTTCTCCGCGTGGTATGTTCATTGTTTCAAAGGAGAGCTTGAGAGTAAGATCTGTGGCCGCGGATTAGAAAATGAGGTTTTGGGATTAGGGTTTTAATAGCTGTGTTTGAGAGGTTTTATATAGTTGCGGTGATTGCTTAACTTAAAGTAATTATCTAGTAAAGACGTTTGATTAAGCTTAAGTTTCTAATACTTAAAAACATGTTTACTTGCAATGTAGGAAGAGATCTTACCGAACACCAGTTCTGTTCGAGGCCATATATACGTTGTTTTGAAGTAATCATCAGACAAAGGAGTGTAACACAGCAGCTTAGTTGATTATATAATTGGAACCATAACTGCAAAAATCACTGTGTCTTCTGGGATTTGGATCTTGAAAAAGATCTTGAAAATAGTTCATATGAACAGTTTCAAAATCCCAAAAGACTAGAATTTTTGCGATTATAGGTTCAATCAATCTCTTGTTAACCTTGGAAGAAAAAATCTGAGAGAAAATAATCTCACACATGTTCTTGTCCTGAGAATCTCAAAGAGAGAGAGAGAGAGAGAGAGAGAGAGATCGGCTTAGAGAGAGAACTAGGAGATATACGTTTAACCTTGTATTTATTTATATGAATCATTAAGAAGCTCTAATTAAGGATTAAGAAGAGGTGGAGGAATGTACGGGCGAAAATCCAGCAGGCCAAGCCCAATATGGTTTTTCATGGGCCGGAGAGAAAGTAGAGTTTAAGGTTCGCTTTATTTTTTAAACAAACAAGTCCAATAATTTTAACAGCAGACCTTTTTTGGTTTGTATCATCGTCAACTCATCTCATTACTATAAAAACAGACAAAAGAGGCCAAGATACAGTATACAGTAAAACCTCTATAAATTAATAATGTTAGGACTACAGAAATTTATTAATTTATAGTGATATTAATTTATCTATAAATTAATATTTATTATTTTAAAGTATAAATTAATAATTATTAATTTATAGTGGCATGTTAACTCTTAAAGTTTTTTTTAAAATTATAATTTGGGAAAATTTTACAAAATAAGATTAGTCTTTAAGATTATATAAATTTTTGTAGTTTAGAATTGAATTCTATATTTATATAAAAAATAACAATGAATTAAAATTTTTATAAATAAATTCACTTCTATACAAAGTACATACAAAAATTCAAGTTTACGATTAATACCTCAATTGTTGTCTTTTAATATCCTATAAAACAAACAAAAAATGAATATGATGCATATTTATAATTAGAAAACATTCAAAAAATTTGCTTATTTTATGATTTTATGGAATATATTATAAGATTATAGTTTAAAATATAACATAAGCTTTTTTTTGTTATAAAGATGAGGTCTTGGAGAAATTCATTTTTACAAAAAACTAAAACCATATTTCAACATAACTAATTATATATATATATATATATATATATATATATATATATATGTGTGTGTGTGTGTGTGTGATTATTAATTTATGTTATTATTGGGACCATATTTACATAGGGATTTCAAAAAAATTTATTATCTTATTATCTTATCGAAAGTTATATATGAAAGTTATATAAAGTTTTATACACATATAAAGGTAATTTGTGTATATATTATAAGCTTACATACATATTTGGATAAATTTCAATATTTTTAATGGTTTTTTTGATAAAGTTTGAAAAAGGGGTATTTTTAAAAAGAGGTATAAGAAAAGGGGTATTTTTGAAATTCCCCCAAATTTTTACACTGGCCCGACTTGGGACAAGCAAAATTTATTAATTTATAGTGTTTATTAATTTATAGAGTATTAATTTATAGAGGTTTTACTGTATTCCATAATTTTGTGAATTACATCTCTCAAATTTGGCCAAAATAGGTAAAATCATTACCAAATTTTTTTAAAATAAAAAGTAAATAATGTACTGAAGGGTTATATTAGGGGTGACGATTGAGATTGTAATATTGACATTCATTAATTTGAGTTGAAGTGTTTTTGATATGACTATGATCGAACGAGACCCGGAGCACGTAGTGGAGAAACACGTTAACGAGGTGTAGCACAAAGACAACAAGGAGAAACACGAGAACGAAGAGCAGCACGTAGCCGAGGAGCAGAGAAAGCACTAGTTATCGCGGAAGGTTTTCTAACAAGATCAAGGCTCAAGAAGCTCAAACAAACAATCAATGACATTCTTAGGGAGTCAAACAAGATTGAAGAAGTGGCTCAAGTCTCCCTCGTAATGGTCTCGACTCAAAAGGTTTGGTAAAGGGTTAAATGTTACTTATGCACACTTTTTCCCTTGTCAAGCTTTGTCCCATTGGGTTTTTTTGACAAGGTTTTTAGTGAGGTCTAAGTAACACTTTTAAGCCCCTTTACCAAGCATAATTTGTGGGTCCAAGGCCCATCACTTTGCCTTGGCCTATTTTCTATATTTTCACTTTATTTTTGCATTGAATGTGTTTGTTATTTCCAAGACTCTTTGCATGAGTTTGGTCTTGTGCATGCTATTGCATGTTTTTCTTCTCTCCCCTCTTCTCATTTATCCTCCTCTCCTATATAATCCCCTTCTACCTTTCATTTGTAACTCATCTATCTTTTTTATCAAAAACTCTTTCAAGAAAGATCACTCTCTTGTTTTTTTCTTTGGTGTGTAATATCCAACGTCAAGTCCAAGATCGATAAATCAAAGGCTCTACCGCAACCATTATGTGACCATTCGCTCCACATCCTTTGGTATAAGTGATCTTACGATCCCTTAGGTGGAAAGTCTATCCTTTTCTCAACTTCTCGAGTGTCGATTCTAAGAGGATCATATCATGTGGTATTAGAGCACACTCTGAAAAGTTCAGCATACTATAGTTTTTACCATCTTTCATCATTTCATTCCATATTCATTCATCTTTCCATTTTATTTTTGTTTTCTTATCAGATTTTTTTCTAGATTTTCTGTCATTTTGTCGGAATTTTCATAAATAATTGGCTCATTATAAAATTGCAAACTCAGTTGAATCTGAAACTAGGACGAGTCTAGTATATAAAAAAATTATTTCTGGAATTTTTGAACTTTATTTCATGACCCAAACATGGCAGCATTATTTATAAAGAAAAAATTCCAGAAATGATGAAAGATGCTAAGCTTTTGGGTTTTGAAATCAAGTTTAAACATTCCAGAAATATTTTTTTTTATATTCTAGATTCGTCCTAGTTTCATATTCAATTGAGTTTGCAATTCTATGATGAGCCAATTATTTATGAAAATTTTGACAAGATGACAGAAAATCCAGAAAAAATTGCGGAACTAGGATTTTTCCTATGATAGGGTGGAGTGGAATTTTGTGATACAATTACTTCGTAAATTAGGATTTGCGGAACGGTGGATAAATTGGGTTAGGTATTGTATGTCGTCGGTGGAGTATCGGGTATTAATAAACGGGCAGCCTAAAGGTTCTATTACACCTAAAAGGGGTTTAAGACAAGGTGATCCGCTATCCCCGTATTTGTTTATTTTATGCACAGAAGTCCTAATTGCTAATATAAGAAAGGCGGAGCAGGATAAGTTGATTACTGGGATTAAAGTTGCAAATAAATGTCCGCCAATTTCTCACCTTTTATTTGCGGACGATAGTCTGTTTTTCTGTAAAGCAACACCGGAGCAATGCACGGTTATTCTCCGTATATTGAATCAATATGAAAAGGTGTCGGGTCAACAAATAAATTTTGCTAAGTCCCGGTTCAATTTGGTCACACTGTGGATGCTGCTACTAAGACGGAGCTTCATGGTCTCAATGGGATATCTAATGTCGGGGGTATGGGTTCATACTTGGGGTTACCGGAAAGTCTTGGGGGAGCCAAAACCAAAATCTTCTCTTTTGTACGGGATCGGTTGGACCGCCATATTAGCGGTTGGTCGGCTAAGTTTCTTTCAAAAGGAGGTAAGGAAGTAATGATAAAGTCGGTGGCCTCTGCACTACCAACTTATGTGATGTCATGTTTTCGCCTCCCGAAAACAATCACATCGAAGTTGACTAGTGCAGTGGCCAAGTTCTGGTGGAGTTCTAACGGTCAGACAGGGGGTATGCATTGGCGGGCTTGGGATAAATTGTGTTGTAACAAAAATGTAGGAGGCTTGGGTTTTCGAAATGTTAACGACTTCAATACGGCGCTGCTAGCAAAGCAACTATGGCGGTTGATTGAAGCCCCAGACTCGCTGTTTGCAAAGGTTTTCAAAGGACGGTATTATAGGAATTCTCATCCTATGGATCCAATTAAGTCTTACTCGCCATCCTATGGTTGGAGGAGTATAAGTTTAGCTAGATCTCTGGTAGCTAAAGGGCTAATTATACGAGTTGGAACAGGTGATTCTGTGTCTGTTTGGACGGATCCCTGGATTCCGGCTCAATTCCCGAGACCAGCTTTGAGTAAGGGGCCGCTTATGGACCCTTCTCTTCAGATTTCTCAATTAATTGATCATCAAACAAACTCTTGGCGGTTGGATAGATTACAAGAACATTTTATTCAGGAAGATGTTGCTTTGATCAGTGCACTGCCGATTGGTAATAATCCTACAAGTAACTCCTTTGGCTGGCATTTTACAAAGAACGGGAAATATTCGGTGAAGTCCGGGTATCATACGGCTCCTTACACCTCTTTTTGCACAAGTATGGAAAGTTAGGTGTCCATCAAAAATTCAACATTTTATGTGGCAATTGTTAACTGGCTGCATTGCGGTATCAGTGAATCTTTCTAAGAGGGGTATAAATGGTGATACTAAATGTGTTCGATGCAGAACCATGGAGAAGACAGTTAATCATGTTATTTTTTAGTGTCCTCCTGCCCGTCAAACTTGGGCTTTGAGTAATGTTCCGGTCGGTGTAATATTGTTTCCAACAAATTCGGTCTATGCCAATTTGGATTATATCTTTAAACTCACCCAGGACAGCGTGCAGTATGGTTTTGGCCCGTGGATTCTATGGTATATTTGGAAGGCGAGAAATGCTAAAGTTTTTGAAAATCGGGATGAAAGTCCTATGGATATTATTAAGATAGCAACTGAGGAAGCAAGAGTTTGGCAGGAAGCTCAGATTGCTGAATCAGATAATGATTCAGCGGTGGCTGGGTTCAATGGTAGGCATTCCAATAGGTTGGGGATCTTACCCGCTTTTGAGGTGGGATATCGGTGTTTTATTGATGGGTCGTGGAAGGTTTCCGATAAGTATGCAGGTTTAGGGTGGTATTGTCATGATGTGTGTGACTCTACGACGACAATGGGGGCTTCGAATGTACGCCGTAGCCTATCTCCACTACACGCTGAAGTTGAAGCTTTGGTGTGGGCGATGAGGTGTATGATTGGACATAATCACAGAGATGTTATGTTCCTTACAGACTGTTCCGACTTGGTGAAGATGTCTTCTCCGTCCGAGTGGCCGGCATTCTCTGCCTACCTTGACGATATTCCTATTGATAGGGAAGAATTTTCATCTTT